CCCCCTCGTTGGAAAACGACCCAGGAATGCAGATGGTGGTTTCCTGCAGTCCGGGGCAGGCGCTGGTTCCGCGGCGCTGAGCGAGGACACCCTGCAGGATCCAGGCCTTGAAGGAGGCAATTAATTAATCAAGAGGCTCAGAGAGTGTCTCGTGTAAATCGCCAACGTGGCAGGGGAGTCTTGAGGTCAGCGTGGGTAGAATTATAGAATCATCAAGGTTGGAAAAGACCTTCAAGGTCGTCGAGTCCAACCGTTCATCCAGTAACCCCCAACCACTGAACCATCTCCCTCAGCTCCATCTCTGCCCCTTTTGTAAACCCCTCCAGGGTTGGAGCCTCCACCACCTCCCTGGGCAGCCTGTTCCGAGGCCTCACCACCCTTCCAGTGAAGAAATTGCTCCTAATATCCAATCTGAACCTCCCCTGCTGCAACTTGACCCCATCTCCTCTTGTCCTACCAGTGGCCACTGGGGACAAGAGCCCAACCCCCACCTCCCTGCAGCCTCCTCTCGGGGAGCTGTGGAGAGCAGTGAGGTCTCCCCTCAGCCTCCTCTTCTCCAGGCTGAGTAATAGGACCTAAGGAACACAGGAGGTGAGAAAGAAGAACCAGAACCAAGGAGATCGATGACTAAACCAGCCTGGGGCAGTTGGAGCTGGAAAAGTTGTGATATTGAGTCCTTTAGGTGAGCTTGGCTCATGATGATGTCATTATCATTAGAGCTGGAAGGGACCTGGAAGATCTGCACACTAAAAGCTCAGGTCAAAAAGACCCTTATCTGGGTGAAGCCCCTTCCCTTGAGCACATGTGATAGCAGAGAAAGTGATGCAACCATATTATCATAGAGTCTTGGGATGGTCTGAGTTGGAAGGGACCTCAAACCCACCCAGTGCCCCCCCTGCATGGGCAGGGACACCTCCCAGCAGCCCAGGCTGCTCCAAGCCCCATCCAACCTGCCCTTCAACACTGCCAGGGATGGGGCAGCCACAGCTTCCCTGGGCAACCTGGGCCAGGCTCTCACCACCCTCACAGCACAGAATTTCCTTCTTATTTCTCATCTAAATCTCCCTCCTTCGAGTTTTGATCCCTTACCCCATATCCTCTCACTACAAGCCCTTGAAAAAAGTCCCTCCCCAGCTTAACTCCATGTTAATCACTGACCAGTCCCTTGGATGGGCTTGGAAACTCATTAACTCGATGGTTTTTGTGCACAAATATGTCATGGAAAATCATCTTTGGGCTGCTTGGCTGGAAAGCACCAAGTGCCCAGCTCAGTCCCCAGACCCCCAGCAAGGAGGTCTCCTTCCTAAAACGAGCCCCTCTGCCTGCATTCCCGGGGTGTGAGGTGACAAGAGGAACAAACTCACTGCCAGGCACCGTGTGCCAGTTGGCCCCGTTGATGATGTTCCCGAGCCGGGCAAAGTCATCATAGTGACAGAGCCGCCGGTCCTGGTTGGCCATGGCCAGGTTGGAGGTGGCGTAGACGGTGGCCAACCAACGGAAGACCCCGTCGTCGGGGGTGGGGGTCAGTTCCTGAGCCTTCCAGTAGGTGCGGGTCATGTCGAAGGGGTAGGTGACCACCAGCTCCCCCCCATGCAGGTTGGCGCTGAGCACGAAGGGGAATCGCTGCATCCAGTCGATCACCGCGCGGGTCTCTGGGGCCACCTAGAGAGGGATCCGGTGTCACCGGGGACATCCCTCCACCGGATCCCACCGGATGTCCCCCGGTGACACCGGATCCCCCTCTGAGTGGCCCCCAAGGGTGGGTTTTTGCGGCGCCCACCGTGGCGTTGGCCAAGGTGTAGTACTCGGGGATGGGGATGTAGTGGTTGGGGAACTGGTGGGGCACCAGGTCGTTGTCCTCGGCGTCCCACAGCGCCGTGTTGAGGTCGGCGAAGTTGTGGTTCAGGTCGATGCCCTCGTAGGTCCAACGGCCCATGGCCCAGCCCGACAGCTCCGAGCCCTGCCCGGGAGGAGGGGAGGGGACAGCGGCGTCACCGGGGGCTCAGCGGCGGGACGCGGGGCCGTGCCCGGCACCCCGAGCCTACCAGCTTGTAGGCGGTCTCGTAGCCGTCAGGGTTCATGGAGGGCAGGAGGTGGATGCG